CCAGTATAAGCCAGCAATTTGCTGGCTTTTGCCACCCTTCGAGTCAACGAAAACACTTAGCAGTGATAATAATACCAATTGGAAATTTAAAATGATCATGATCTTCTTATTAATACATATACTCTGATTTATTTGTTTCGAATGTATGGTATTGTTTGTTGCAATTCAACTATTTCTATACTCAAGAAGCAAACAAGCAAAAAACAAAAAATTTGAAAATGAACCTTCATCTTATGCATCTAACCAATTTACTTATCATAAACAAGTCTCTTTATATTATGACCTAATGTCACATTCATCACTTCTTTAATCGTTTCACTTGTGCTGTAGAGCAGCGTGGCCTCTATAGTGAAGTGCTGCAATTCATCCCTGACAAAAACTAGATTAGTTAAGTGAAGTATTTGTAGTTGGTTGAGCAAAAGGCAACACATAAACCAAAGCTAAACTACACTTAACGAAGCATATAAAATGTGCTTAAAACTGTTAATCATTAATCAAAATTAAAACAGCTGTTGTTGTCGAATACGGTGGAATGTTATTTTATCTGGAAAAGCGTAGCATACACTTAGGCGCAGCAAAAGAAAAGTGTCAGTCATTAAATGTGTAATGCGCAATGGATTTGCACGGCAACCGACATTGGTTACTGTTGAGGTTTTTGTTAACAAATTTATGGTTGAATTAATGCAATGAAAATGAAAGTGTACAAATGGTTCATGGAAATTCCTGTCACACTTTCGAATACTGGAAAATCTTTGTGACCCCGAAAAGATTAATAGTTTTACCGGCAAACTTTTTAATTTAGATAAATCAGTGCACGGTGAAGTTTGTTTCAAAAATAAATACAAAATACAAACATTTGAAAGCAGAAATGTTGGCTCGATTTACGCTGCACTGTTGTTGTTTGTATGTTTGCTGTTCATATCGAAACACAGAAATATGATGCTATTTATAGAATTAAGCTTAAGCGAACTGTTTTTACTTTATTGCTAAATTCTTTTGCTGATAACTTGAATGTAAGCTTTGCGTTAATGCAATGTTAACAATATAACTAATCCCTGAAAGTATGCAGCACTTAAGTTTTCGTAAAAATACATTTGCAATGAATTTTCTCATTTCATTTGTTGTGTGGGTATGTATGTATGTACGTATGTATGCTGTGATCTGTTTGATTGTGTATACAATATTGTGCCATATTTCAACGCTGCTATTTATTTTATTATGCAACAAACGTAACGCAACACCAGCAACCAAAGCTGTAAGATTAGACACCGCAAAGAAAAATAAACGAAGCAAAATCCAAAGCCTCTGATTATGAGCGTTAGCCTCTTTTCTGTTTGGTTGGTAGCTGCTGGGTGGTTCGGTAGTTCAGTGGTGAGTTTGTTGGTTGATTGCTCTTTTTGTATTCATAAGCTATATTGCACGCTGCTATGCTGTTGTGCTGTTGCTGTTGTTATAGTTGTTGTTGTTGTTGTCGTCGTCGACCAAGGTAATAACTGACAACAAAAACAGTTGTTGATAATTTTGGTAGACGCGTTCGCAAAAACTCCTCTTTGCTTTTTCGTGAAAAAACATTTTTTCTTAATAATTTTTATTATTTTTATTTTTTGTCAAGTCATAAAGTGTATTTTATTTTGATTAATGTTTCGTTACATACCTTTAGGCGCAAGTATATTATTAAGTTCGCAGATTTCCATTTGCAGTTTTATTACTTATTGCTGTGGTTATTTTTACACATTTTTTTTACTTTTTTTAACGTTTTTAAATTTATTTCAAATGAATCATTTGTATGCAAAAATAAAACAATTATTATTTTTGATTTGTGGCTCAAATGAAAGCGACCCTAAAAATAAATTCTATTCAGTAAAATTTTTGTGGTTAAATTAATATCATTTGGAAGTTAAAAAGTATAAAAAACTATACAAAAATACATTAACTAATAAAAAATTTATGCATTTGAATTTAAAATTTATAGTATGTACATATGTGTCTCTAGGTTTCTGCAATCAAGGTTTCTACTGCCTTTACTACTATAGATTATTCTAGTTTAAATTAATTAAAGAAATATTTAACCCATATATTTCCGAATTTTTTAAGTTCCTTGTAATTTACACATACGAACGTGCGTCACATGACAAAAAAGTTAAAGTTGGCATCATTTATATAAAATTATTATATTATTTCATATAACACTTCAGTAAACGCACTTTTATCAAAACAACACAAGATAATTTTAAACGTAATTAAGACTTTTCTTTTTATTATTTTTAAATAAAATAAAATTACTCTTAATCTTTACCTATGCATCCAAATATATTTTAACCTTCCAAGTATTCTTCTTCCATTTTCCTACAATACACTTATGCCCACATTTTTTCAAATTTTGTAAGCAATTGTTGAAGCCAGCTTTCGGAGTAGTCTTTAAAGCACGTAGCTTATCGATTTATTGGCATTTGTATAGAAATGATATCGTCAAAGTGCTCGAAGTCGAACCTTATGAAGTATCCAGAAGTCATACAGTGCTAAATCAGGCATGGTCTTATAGTTGTAAAGCAATATCAGTTGAATTTATAGAAAAATGGTACCGCAAAACTAATATAATGTGAAATGGAGCATTGTTATGGTACAAAATTTAAAAACTGTTTGCACATAATATTGGCTTCCCACATCAAGTTCCAATAATATTTTTTGTTAAATATTTAGTTCTGCAAAAGGAATACATAATGCATCACCCAACTATAATCAACGAAAACTGTTAACATGACCATGATTTTTAAGTGAGTTGAGCCAATATCTTCAGTTTTGGTCCTTTGCACTGCATTCACTTGGTTGATCAAGCTGTTTCCGGATCGTTTGTGAAGAGACAAGTCTCGTCTTCAGTTATCATGTATTTAATTTTATTTTGTTTGTCAAAAAACATAATTTGTAACTTTTATTAATTTAAAATAGAGTGAAAAATAATAATCTACATACCTGAAATAAATTAAAGCTAATAACACTACTGAATGCCATCCTTTACAATTATAATAATCAACTTTTGAAAATTCGCACATACAAATGGTGTTTAGACCATGTAATTTTAACATTCGATTTGCAAACAGAAAACATATGATTTCCTTAATTTCGGGCAGCATGTGAACACTTTCTAAATTAACTTCATTTAATTTTAACGAAATTGTGAAAATTTAGCTGACTGAACATACCAAGAATACCTTTCAAAGAACGGAAAATCCGCCCATTTCGAGTGTAACGTAAAAAAATTATTTCTAAAAATTTATTTTTCATATTATTTTGACACACGTATTAAATACTACATTAACATCAAATTCCTCTCTTTTGGGGTTGCAGTATAATAATCTCTTACTACTTGCTAATCATATATTAACTTTTTAGTAATATGGAAATCAATACATTTAAATAAGTAAAGTATAATAAATAAAGTGTAAGAAACAAATATGTATAAATATATAAAATCATATGTAAACATTTAAATCAATCAATTTAAGTCAGCTTAATTTGCTTAATCATGTAATATAAGTCCTTTTCGGTGGCTCGCAAGTCTAGCAAAAAACGCATGCTGGCCTATATTCGTTAAGCCTGACATTGGCATCACTTTTGCTATATATCAAATGTTATGTTTTTGCAAACAGCAAATGTTACATATGTACACCTAATGCAAGCAAATACCATTTTATATAACAATAAATAATTAATATAAATAAAAATTAAAATGAATACAGAATTAAAAGAAATGTTAAGAATGTTGGAAATTTCAAACAATGGAATTTTACTTTTTCCCAATTTTCAAATATATAAAATTTTTGAATTTTGTTTAAATTTTTGATTCCATATGATTTTTGACATATGATTGCAATAGATCTGCTCCACATATGGACTCTCAGGAAGATATGCTGATTTAAGGTCCGTCATCAATTAAAAGAGAAATAAATAATATGATTTTTTTTTAGTCTAGTTAAAGCCTAGTGTGGGGTAGAGATAAGCCCCCCAGCCATTATAGAGTAAAAGTGCGTAAGAGCACTAACTCAAGAAGAAGAAGAAGAAGAAGAAGAAGACATATGATTTTTGACATAAGATTGCAATAGATCTGCTCCACGAGCTACTCGTTGTAACTTTGAGTAACTATGTGTATACACAAGTGCGTTCCACCAGCAAATTTTCGAGTAAATGAGAGCATCTGAAACAGCGTAACATCCCTGTCGAAAATTAAAAATGCTACACAGACTTTACTCGTACAAGTACAAATTTCAAGTAAAATTTGTGTTGATGTGAGAATCAGCTGTTTAGGTTTGAATTTAAACTTTTTTGTTGTTTATTTGCGCAGCACTGGTGTTCTCACCAGATTTTACAGAAAGCTGTCCCATGAAAATCTGTGTAATGTGTGCAATTTTACACTTTATTTGTGTTACGCTCTCAGTTTGTGCTTTACTTGTGTTTTACTTGAGTTTTACTATGAGTAGCTTGAGGAACAGACCTACTATAAAACAATTGTGCAGTAACAACACAATATGCTACTACTTTCGATTTTAAGTGCTTTTTGTTAAGAACTTGTGCGGTAAATTTTGTACCATTTGGAGCAACGAAATTTAATTTTTCACTCAAAAAACACAAAAAAAAAACCGCACTCTTTTTACACGCATTGTGGTAAGTTTTTCCAAAAATTTCGTTCTTATAAGTACCGGAAAATGTGAAAAGGTGAAAAATTTTATTGATTTCAGCTGGTGTTAGTGTACTTTTTACTAACACTTTCAACAGCTCCACGGCAAATTGTTATGCGAAAAAACAAATTTTAGTTCACAATGGACCTAGGTATTCCTTGGCACATAGTATAAATATACCATAAAGTCTTAATAAATATATCAACTTGAATTGTTGGTACATTTTTGTATTATCAATTGTGAATACACATTTTTCAAACATGAAAATTTTTAAGATATGGCAATATTCCTATTTGATTATTAATGTCACAACTTGTGTAAAAAAAATTTAAATAGGAACTCATTTGTAATTTGAACTCTCATCAATAAGCAGCGAATATGTATTGTTTAGTCAGTTATTAAAGCATTTAAGCATTATTCTATATTAAGCATAATTGTCGTATATGAAATTAAAAAACTAATAATACACTTTTCTTTTTATTTTAGGTTGAATTAAAACAAAAGATTTATGTTGCACCTTGTTATCTTGATGAGGATGTTATGGATCATATTATGCAAAATCTTTGCAGTCATAGTGAAGGCCAGCTTCATGGGGACAACGGTAAAATTGTCAAAATTATTAAGATAGTAAACCTAGGTACGGCTTTTATAAACCCTTATACTTCCGAAGTGGAAATCTGGGTGACTTTCATAGCCTTAGTAGTGCGTCCAGTTAAGGGTGAAGTCGTTGATGCAGTTATAACACAAGTGACAAGTGTATT